TGCTCTGGCGCCTGGAGCACATCCTCTCCCCACTCCTTCTTCACTGACCTTGGAGTCTTCACATATTCTCACTCCTCCAGCTCTCTGCCAGCTGTTGTGGTGCAGTTCTTTTCGCCTGTTCTTAAACATGTTTTCACAGAGGTGTCCCTCTCCTATCATTTTACTGACAGGCTCAGACTTGGCCAGCAGCAGGTCCCTGTTTGGAGCCGGCTGGCATCGGCTCTGTTGGACTCAGGAAGCTTCTAGCAGCTTCTTGCAGAAGCCACCCTACTGCCCCCTCCCCCGCTGAAATCCAGCCAGGCAAAACCAATACACCGACATACACTGTAAAGAACAATGTCAGTCATCAATAACTTCAGGAACATCTACAGAGCTACAGCACTGTGGAAACAATATTGGTATAGAATCAGGCTCATTGCGTTTCTGGTAGCAGACATTGGAATCTTAGCATTTCAGAATGTATGATTTTTTTCATATACAAATGTGTATTTCTGTTAGATATTCTGGACCACCTACAACATATACATTATGAAAGTTGTTAATGATCACTTCAAAACTGATTGCTGAAGACAAAAAAGAAAACAGAAATTAAACTTCTACATTAATATTCTCCAGATACTTTAATCTAATAGTCATCTCTCTGCTTGCCTTGCAGACTGGAATGCGGCAGCTGTTTGAACTTGGACAGTACACAAGGGAAAGATATTCCAACTTTTTGAACAGCACATACAATCGGCAAGAGGTATATAGCAGAATTGTCTGGAGGACATTTCTCTGGCCTAGTGCAACTATAGGCTGGCACTAAATAAAAGCACATCATCATATTCCTTCCATTAATGGAAAAATTAAGGTGATAGAAGAACATTTTTTGAAAGCCAGGCTTTTATGTCAAGGTAAAAACATGGACTAATGTAACTTTCAGCTCCAATGTTCAGTTTGGTTTTTCCACTGCCCAGTTTTCCCAGACTGACCAGCTTCACTCCACGGAATGAACAGGAGGTTTATACATAGTGGCCCAGTATTGTTCTACCCTGTTGAGCAGTGAATGCCTACCTGGCCATGGGATGGGCCACGCTCACATACTGCATCCGGTAAAAGAGAGGCCTAACAGTCATTTGGGTGCGCTTGTCATACGCTACAGTTCCCTTGAGGGGAAGATATCACGACTCTTTGAGTCTATAGGTGAGGGATGCATTGATGGGAAGGCAGAGAAGCCTACAGCTTTGCCATGCTCCTCAGAGAGGTTTATGGTTCCTGAGGTGTAGCAGGTGGATAACAGAATTTTAGAATTCTTTCTAACTCTTTGCCATTCTATCCTCAGTTTTACATCCAAAGCACAGATTACGATCGCACCATTATGAGTGCCCAGTCGTACCTTTCTGGCCTCTTTCCACCAACCAGCAGCCAAATTTGGAACCCTGAGCTTCTCTGGCAACCCATTCCAGTGCATGTTTTGCAAAAATCAACAGACCGGGTGAGTACTGGCTGGACACTTCTTACACTGCCTTAAACTTTCCCAAAAGCTAACAGGAGAAAAAAGTGGGAAAGAGGCTAAAAAATAATTTTTGTTCTTTTTGAGTTCAGTCTAATAGAAAACATCAACTGCAGCTACTGGCTGACAAGCACGTCACAGGTCAACTGTAATGGTGCATGAAAATCCTCCCTCTATAGTTGCAGAATACATGAATTGTCATCCCCACTACCATTTTCTTCAAGGTATAGCTCTCACATTTCTCCTGGCAAGGACATTTTTGTAAAGTATTACAACGGAGTTGCTCTAAATCTTTACAGAGAACAAGTGCCTTTCTAAGCACCCATCAGCTATACAGACCTCTCCTCCTTGGCAAGTCTGTTGCATAGTTTATTCAAGGAATGGAATTTTGACCCCTCTGTAATGACCTCTCAATTATTACTTTCCCATTCTGGTAGCACTTAGGCACCCTAATTACAGACAAGGGCCCTTTTATGCTCAGTGCTACACAAACACTTAATGAAACCCTAGCACTTGCCTTGTGGTTCATAAGAGCAGACCTACCTGAATAATAGGTCCTGTAGAAGTTCTACTGTACGTAGCTCTCTCTGGCTGACTCAGGTTTAGTTTTTCATTTCACTGCCTCCTGTTACAAGGACTGTGTAAGCAATAGCATGTTGAACAAGGACAAAAAGCTGCTGAGTGTAATGACTTAAAGGCTAATTCTTTTCTGCCTTTGAGGACAGAAGTTGACTTTAAGGAAATGCATACAAAAGCCCTATTAAATAACTACCTATCCAGTTGCTGGCATCAGAGGATGGACTCTGTCATTAGGGGGCGGTCGTATCCGCCTCCCATCTGCATTCCTCCTCTATCGAAGGCCAAGCTTGAAAGCCGGTACAGAGAAAAGGGGCTTCCACAAACTGAGTTAGGCACAAGGTGATTCAGTTAGAAACTTAACTCCATCCCTCAAAAGAAAAGAATGCTGTCACTGTTATTTAAATGTGGGACTCTAGAGGAAGCTATTTCACCAGAAGACCAAAAAGCATCAAAGCAGTCTGAGCTTTGGCCAGATAAAACCTCAAAGCCCTTAGGGGGATCACAGTGCAGTGCAATAACCTGTTTAAAGAAGACAAACTCATATGTAGGAATCTCTAGGACCTCATCACTTGTGCAGCTGCTTCAAAAGTAGCTGTTGATGTTCCACTGAAACACTCCTCTGTGGCAATTCAAAACTCCTGTTAAATATGATAACTGCCTGGAAAAAGCATTGTTCCCTTGTTAAACCAAGCAGATGTCTGAGGGTATTTTCAAGCCCTAAGCAACACAAAGTGGGAAATTGAGGCCAAGAACAGTCCTGTAAAGAAACCTAATCACAGTTTATCTTTCAGCCGCTGAGATCTATCAAGACCTGACAAGCAACAGTAGCGAGCATTGCTTAATGAGGCCAAAGGGAGTGGCTTAATTAGTAACACCTAGAGGGGGATAATTAAGCCATATAGCAAGAGAAACATTTCTTATTGTGTAATTAAACAATATTTCCCGGTTTCATATCATGTCTTTGAGCCTTCACCCTCCAGTGTGCTGCTGTTACAGAAAAAATGCACCCTTGGAAACCTGTCCAAGTGTGTGCCAGGGTCAGCTGCAAGCTCCACATTGAGAAATCAAAGAGGAAAGGGACATGCTGGAAATGCAGCCTGCTAACGTTCACCTCGAGAGAGACATCCTTGCACATACATAATCCACAGATATTGAACTTAAATGACATGGAGTCTTCCTAGAAGCATCTAAAGAGATTTCTCCATTGTATATTAAGTCAGTTCCTTGAAATGATTTGTATGGTTACAGGATACTATTGGTGCTGGGTCAAAAAGGCTCTAGTGATGTGACATAAGGTGCTGAACCAGCATAAACTTATGTCACTTATCGTAACTTTCTACTGACACTTTGTGCTGGATCAGGTATCGTCTGTTCTCCTGCAGGTGGCATAAAACCGTATTTGCCAAAGCACAGAGTCTGATGGACACATACGTATTCCCACATGGTTCAGATCAAATATGTATTATTGGATGACCTCCCAACGCATACACTCGGAGTTATGAGAAGTCAGCCATATCCCTAAATAAGAACAGAGCCATTAGGCCCATAGCTTTTTGATATTTCAGGAGTGCAATTTGTCAGCCTTGTTTCGAGTTCTGTCCATTAAGTGGTACTTAAAAAGTTTACCGTAATACACTGCTTACCTCCAAGGAGAGGAGAGTAGGATGCATAGATAGAGAAGTAATTCAGATTCCAGCACCAGCCAGAGTCAAGATGGATCTGGAGGGTTGCAGAAATTAAGAGCAAAATGATTAAAATTCCTGATTGTAGACCCTGATCCATTTCTCAAAGCCATCTCCCGACAGACTGGCATAATTTCTTTTTCCCGAACTCACTTGAACTGAGGGAAATCAACCTATCACAGCCACAGGTAGTCAGGTTACCTCAGCCTGTCGCTTATGTTAACTGAATTCAGGAACAAGGTACCCAAACAAACCATTATGGAGAAGATGGAGCAGAGCCAGGAATCTATCTAACAAGTACTACATCAGCAACTTCAGCAACAGAAAATCTAGAGGTGTAATGCTTCATTTTGGGAACAAAAAAAAATAGACATGTATTGCTTAATTCTGGAACTATTCTAAGTTCCACTTCTCTTGTTTCAGAGGCTGCATTTTCCTCTGCCTGACTGTCCACGTTTTGACACACTTCAGAATGAAACACAAACTTCCAGTGAATTTCAAAACAGAATACAACCATACATGGTAAGACAAAATTAAAAGGAAACAAAATCTAAGTAGGAGGAAAGTAATTAAGATGTAGAAGTTACAGAATTTCATTGTTTAATTTTTCTAGAATGCAAAAATAAATACATGCAAAAAAAATTTACAAATGACAAAATTAAAACCTTGAGGACTCTTAAAATTAGGGCTGAGAAAAAAGTGTCTGAAATAGAGATCAGTACCTTGAAATGGCTACAAAATGAAATCTGCAAGCAAAATATTCTGCTACAAGGGTTTCCCTGTGTGAAATACTACTGTCTTGTCAGGTTGGGTGCTAACATATGTTCCACCTGTACTGAGTATTTGTGGTATACTCTTCACTTTTCTTTTCTCCAGGATTTCTTACAAACAATGGCAGTTGACACAGGACTTGAACTAAATAATCTTAAAATACTGGACAACTTCCAGCTCTGGAATACATATGATACCCTACACTGTGAGGTAATACTAAAGCAATAGAGGTTGGGAAAGAATATAACACTTAAACTGGGTTTCAGGTGAAAGATTGCAATACAGTTTCATAGGAATGAGTTTGCCTTCTCTCCTGGATTTCTATTTTGTTGGTTTATTTATTTTTTCTTTTTTTAATTTGAACCTAACTTCTAATTTAGTGCATTGGTAAATGATAACCCCAAAACATGGTTTACAGCTTGGGAAACCTGTTGTTTCCATTTGATGTTTTATCCTGAAGCCTAGTACTGAAATCCAATCCCTTCATTCCTTCATTTTCCTCCCCAATATGCTGCTATAGAAATTGTAATTCAGGGCACGCTGATGAACAAAACCACATTGGGCAAAGAATTGCAGGACAGCCTCAAAGAATCTAAATAGAGTAGTGTGAGGCTGGGCAAGAGGCAGTAGACAAAAAAAACCCATTATTTTGTTTTTCTTTATTACTAGGGTATTCACAATTATACTCTCCCTGCATGGGCCACCAAAGATGTAATCAACAAGATGGAAAAACTGGCAGAATTGTCCTTATTATCACTCTTTGGGATTTATAAAAGAGAAGAGAAATCGCGACTACAAGGAGGTAAATCAAAAGCTGAAATTCTGCCTCTCCAATACTTATTCTGTTTTCTAGTGTTCACAGGCATACCAGTTATGCCCTCTTTCTCTAGAACGGCACAAATTGTGCTACAAGAAATTTCTGCTGCCCTTACCTCACTGGCTTTAGGGTATCTCTGGTGTGGAGAAGGAGTACAAAAGAGCTTTGGAAAATGAAGAGTTGACACTGTGTGACTTGTTGGAAATAAATAGTTAAAGATGTTTCTTCAGCATCAAGAGAGGAAGAGGCTAGCACAGCTGTCATTACTGTAATACTCTGAACAACAAAAAAAGTTCTGGAGAGGAGGTCTCAGCATAACAAACCTGCAAGTGTCACTAGCCCCAGTTTTCAAGACAGTACTAGATGATTTCCTGTAAATTCCACCTCTTCACTTGACCTGGATGATGAATGATATATTTCAGCTCTGTATTATCTTCTCTTCAGTTATGAACTTGCAGCAAGCTAAAAAAAATGAGGCCTGAGTAGATGTCTTCTCTTTGACACTCAAAATCTTTTTAAGTTTCTATGCAAATGTTTCATCCTCATTTTCCTCTTCCTTGTTCCCATCTTTTTAAGGTGTCCTTGTGAATATAATTTTAAATAGTATTAAACAAGCTGCCAACTCTTCAAAACAAAGAAAAATGGAGGTCTACTCTGCAGTGAGTATTTTCATTTCATAAACCTTGCTATGATTTTACCTCAAAGAGAATAATCAGTCTTTCTGGAACATAAATGGAAAAATAACATAAAACCATTCAATTCAGCTAACAAGCCAAACACCAGTCGGTACAAGAAAACAGCAGGAGCATGGATTTCACCTCAGTTTCAGTCAAACTGTACCTGGTAAAGAAAACTACATATTTTATCAGCTGTTTTTGTGCAACTTAATGGTGCAGTTCCCATAAGTTGCATCTTTCCTCAAGCACTCCTAACGCAGAGATGCTGGCAGACAGCAGAACTTCAGCTGCACTGCAAATCCTTCCTCTGCCTAGAAAGGAATACAGCTAGAAGAATACAGCTGTGGATTCCTTTTTTTTTATTTTAGAGGATGAAGAAGGCCATTTGGGTCGGACCAAGATCCACTTAGCTCATTCATTATCCTGTCTCTAACAATGGTCAACTGCAGGGAAGAATGTGAGAATAATGCCAGCGCAGAGTGATGCTTCCCCTGGTACAACCTTCCAGCAATCTGTGGCTTAGGGACTTCCTGAGATAGAATCTGTGTCTGTGTGTTTAATAGCTCTTGACAGACTTTCTTCCATCACTTTATCTAATCACCTTCTTAATGCATTTAGACTTTTAGCTTCTGCAACATCCTGTGGTAATCACTTGTGTGTTAAAAGGAAGAAAAGTACCTCATTTTTTTTAAAACTTAATACGATTTAGCTCCTTCCTAGCATTTCTATTGTGAGAAACGGGGAATAGTCATTCTTTATTCGCTTTTACTGGGTCACTCATGAGTTCACTATTTTCTGTCACACCTATTCCATCTTTCCTTTTCCAGGACAGAGTCCTACTCTATTTAATCTTTCCTTATAGAGCAACCACTCAATTCCTTAAGCCTTTCTTGCTGCCTTTTCTACATGTTTTCTAGCCCTACTATATTCTTTTGGAAAATGAGGAAGTGCACCCAGAATTGTCACTGCTACTTTAATGCCTTGAGGCCAAGTATACTCATTTTTGAAACTGATCAGTCTAAAAAGTTCCAAATCCTGAATAATAACAAAATGTAGTTTTAAATTATAATACAAATTAGCCTAGCAGATATGTATATAAAGATGCTCACAAAATTCAAGCATTGAGGTATTTGGACTTCCTTCCCTCAGCTCCTCTGCAGCTTCCCTGCAAGATGAGGTAGAGATTACAGGAGGTGGGTAACTGATTCCATCAAAATAGAAGCCAAACAGATAATTTTTTTAAATAAATCCAAACAGAAGGAACAAGTTCTTCTGGAGTGTGTATGGAGGTGAGGAAAATCTTTGTATGCAGCCATTTGTCTGGTACACTATCTAAAAACAAGTACTTGCATCTTCACTTGAAATGCCATGTATATATCACCTTATACTGCCTTAATCTGACTTTGGAAACAAAAACAGTCCTGAAGGAAGGAGAAGCAGAATGCACTGAAAATTGGATTTATTATTCAAACCACATCTTGCCTTCCCCCAGTATCCGTCTCCAAAATGTTGCCAGATAGTGCAAGACGCATACTGCAGTAACTCTCTGGAAATGTCCCCTGCTGTCTGTAGTAATCTCTTAACATGTTTCTCCCAATGGTGAACATACTGAATGCATTTTATGGTCGAATTAACACAGGTTTTATTTTACCTGGATTTCCACTCCCTCTCTACTCTGGTCTCATTACTCTGGATGAATGGTAGTTGATGTAACCGACTTTCAGAGATGGATTTTTTTTTTTTCCCAATAGCATGACACCACACTTGGGGCCCTCCAGATTGCTCTCAATATTTTCAATGGAAAACTGCCACCATACGCTGCTTGCCAGTTTTTTGAACTCTACCAAGAAAGCAGTGGGCAAGTATCTTCTCACCTACGCAAGACCAACAAGCGTTTGGAATTCAGCTCCCCCTTCCCCAAGAAAAAATTTTCTTTTAAACTGATACTTTACTGAACAGTTCACTGGAACAAAGTTATATTAAAACTAGGAAAAATTACATTTGCTGGGTGTTCATGTATCCGTGTGCTTTGAAAGATAGGAAGAAGAGGGAAACAGGCCTTATCAGCTGAAAGTAAATGGTAAAATAATTTTTCCTGATTCTTTAAAAGATAGCAACAACATTTCCAAGACATCTCATAAATCCCGGGGCAAACCAGTTGGCTTAAAAATGCCCAGTGCTGCTGCCATTCAAGGAGCTTTGAGCAGGAGATTTTGAGCTGACTAACAATCTGTGCAGTAACGGCACCAGCTTTGGCACAGTGGGCTTTGCAGATGTTTTTCACAAAGCCTCTGTTCTTGAAGACCAGGTTCTAGAGGAGGATATTAGAGCCCATTTCTAACATGCTGTCTCTAAATGGTAAACTCCTGTTTAAGAAACTTTTTAAAAAAATCTCTGCTGTTATTCAGGCGATACAGCATTGAAATGCATTATCGGAATGACTCTTCAAAGGATCCTTACCTACTCACTCTACCAGGATGCACCTCTTCTTGTCCTCTCGAGAAGTTTGCTGAACTAGTTTCTCCTGTGATTACAGAAAATTGGTCAAAAGAATGTGGGAAGAAAGACAAAATGAAAGGTACTGTAACAGCTCTGTATTTTCTACATAAGACATGGAGGTGAAAAATTTCAGTTTCCAGGACTGAGGTCTAAGTTTTATATTTATGTTGCATAGAAAATGCAGGCCATGTGATCTTGCCAGAAATATGAACAAAATGTACTGTATTTCCACTGTACATATTTGTAATTAGACTGTTATCTCTGTATCCAAAATGATACACATTTATGTCTTTCACTAATTCCCTTTATTGTTTTTCCTTCACAGATATTTTTATTGGATTTGATGTTGCTGTTGGCTTATTATTCATTTTTGACCTTGTTCTGCTCTACCTCCTTTATCATTATGGACGCTGCAGGCGCAGAAACAATTACCAAGATATTTAAAGGGGAGGCATGGAAGAAAGAGCAGATAGACATCAAGCAACCCTTTAAGTTTCTTATATCCATCAGTTTGCTCTGGTCAAATTAATCTCCAAAGCACATTCAATAAACCTGAAGAGCTAAGGTGTCTGTGGCCTAGTACCTAAAAGGGTAAACTTCTACACTGAGAAATACTGTAGAAAAATGCTATTATTAACAATTTACTTTTGTAAGAAGATAGAATTACTCCAATTTCTAGCCTTTGTTTTTCAACTGTTATTAATCAGTCTTAAGTCAACCAATGGGGTGAAGGGATGATATTGCCTATGCTTTTTTTTTTTTATACTGCCTATCACCACTTAGCCCTCTGCTTCTCTTTTACCCTGCTCAACGAGTCTTTCTTGCAAATCAGTCTGTAATATTTCCCTACTATATAATGGCTGTTTTGTTGACACACAGGAAAATGTTTTCAGTGAGCACAACCAGCAATTGTCATGATTCATACCAGCATCTAGGCATATATTTCTGAATTTATTAATGCAAACCCGTTTACTTCAGCCTTTAGCTAGTAGAAGTGTGCAGCCTGCTTTTCAAAGGAGTGACACTACTATAGCTCTCACCAAAACCAGTAGGTACTGGGGGAGCTCTGTCACATATCCAGGCATCACGCAAAACACTTGGTGCAACAGCATTTCAGTCAACGTCCATAACATCAGTAATATAGACAAGTAAATAGATTTTCTGTTGCTACACACTTTCCTGTTTTTCTGAGCTCCCACTCATGAATAACTCTTTGCATTACATCCTTTCTACACTGCATCTGTTCTGTGACCTGCTTCAGGTCCTTCTGTGATATTATTTCTTTGAGTCATTTGGACAATAATTTCTCAAGCTATCACTGTTCATCACCTTTCATCTTAATTTACATCTTAATTAACTCCTTGCTCTGTTCAAAACCCCCTATACTAGCAAGACAAGCACTGAAAGTAAGAAAACAATGGTTCTGCTTTTTGTATGTTGATCTCTTCCGTGCAATATATTTTGGCTAGGTTGCAAGCTCCTAAGGGCAGGAAATGTGTTTCCATAATTGCTCTTTAGTATCAGAAACTAGCACCATAAGCACTAATATTGCTGTATAAAATACTGCTTATCATCATATGTTTCAAAATATGTTTTGCCCGGCAGAAAATACTGTGAATTACATCACCACAGAGAAGCCTTTTTTAAAAGTCAAGACAACTATCCAGACAGGTGCCAACAGCAGGTTCAATCCAAGAGATATAATGAGCAGTCACATGCTCAAGCTAATGAGTCCTGTTGAGGTGCAGAAGTCTAGAGAAAGCCAAGATTCAGAGCCGCTGAGCTCAGCACAGCACCACAGCAATGTGAATCCGCTGCTTTGGGACTGACTTTGAGTCACACCTCTGGGTTGCAACTTGGAGCAGTGTATTGGCAGTGGGGAAAAACTCAGGACAAACTGCAAAACTGATCCTCACTTCTGAATATAGATATAGGGATAGATATAGACACTAGAGGGGTTTTTTTTTGGTGCTGACCTCTGTATTACCAAGGCCACAGCACTGCTGGTACTGACAAGTATAGGCTGAGCATGCCTTTTACCAGAGGCAGTCACAGGTTTGAGAAGTGAAGATGTATCCTTCACTGATAATGTGCAGCAAGAACTGCTTTTGAGATATTAGAAAGTCCGTTGGTTGCACCCATGAGTAGAACGGGGCATGTTTTTTTCAAGATTGCATCTTACAAAAAGAGGTATATCCAGAGAGAAAGTAAAACGTGAAGTGTTCAAGTAAAACGTGAAGTGTTCACAACATCTTTTGCAGATTATGCTACTCAAGCCTAAGATGTTACATAGTATTTCAGGAAATGACACAATTCTAGCTGCATAAGAGCTGTCACGAAGTAGTTTTATTGTCGCAACATCTTTTTATTGAGGAGTTACAGAAATTAATCCCCAAAATCCCTGAAAATGTCCATGCACTTCTAGAAAGAAGCCAGTGAACACAAGTTACACAGAATGTAACAGATAGGTTCAGATGATGTAACTTCAGAATTAATGAAGATAAAATAAAGATGTAATAGATGAGTAATGTCGGCCCTGAATCTCACCTATAGTAAAGACATTTTGTCCTGCTGTGATTAAATCAAGCAAATTCCTTCAGTGGAGTAAAAGTTTTTAAGTATTAGACAAGCTTGTGCCTTTTTAAATCCTTCAGCCATATTTACAATTTGCGTAGTATAATCTGCAGACTGCTTGTCATTAGAAAAATATCTTGTCTCCAAGCAACTTGTAGCACTGCAATAAAGTACATTAAAGAAACAATTTAACATTTGCAATTGTATTTCGGTGGAAAATAATTAACCTTTCAGTGTGCCTAGAGATTCCAAACAAAAGTGACTGTTCAGGTTTGCTCTTTCTGTAAGAAAAGACTTTTAAATCACTGATGCTTTGACACGAATAACACAGAGTTGACAACATAGAATCATAGAATGGCCTAGGCTG